TGAAAAGTCCCTAATCCTATCAAATTGCATTGCAATGCAAAACCTGCATTTGTAATTACTGGGCCTAATCTAGCTTCCAATGACGCCAATAGCGCTATTCATGTGCTTACAGTTAAGCCGCTGGGGATAATTCATTTCTACTAGTCCAGGGACAGCTGCATCTTCACTGGATTCTTTCCTGTGGATGGGTAGGTGATATTTGCCTTGTCCTCCCTCCTTCCAGTTATGGAAAGGAGCACTTGAGGTGCAGAAAATTGTCATCACCTAGCACTAACTCCAGTATAGGCCAAGCCCACTTGGTCACTGCGTAGGTTTCCGATAGCCAGCTTTTCCCAAAGGCCTCGGCTAGAACCCTTTTATTGAATTGGATGCTCTGGATGCATAATGGGTAACATTTCATCGCCTGCAGAATACGAAATACTATGGAATGTGATCGGCGAGCAATTTTTCTGCGTTAGGGTTTGGGTCAGTTTTACTGGGTGCCTAGAATTGTATTCGGCACTAGGTCAGGGGCGTTCAAACTTTTTTTTTTTCTCGTGACCCAGATGAAGACAATTGTTGGTGCCCGCGATCTAACATCATTTGACTAGAGTGCGGAGTGGGGCTGAGGAGGAGAGCTTTGGGATATAGGAGGGGCCGCCGACTTTGGGGGGGATCAGAGCTGGGCCAGAAGGGGCTAACCTCAAGCAGCTCCTGGTCAGCAGTGCAGCGGGAAGGCTAAGGCAGCTTCCTGCTTCTCCTGGCATCACAAACCATGCTGTCTCCAGAAGCTGCCAGCGGCAGATTCCCATCCAGTGAGAGTGTGGAGCTGGTGTTTGGGGGCAGTGCTCAGAGCTCTGTACGCCCCTCGCCCCCTCGTGCCCTTCTGGGAGCTGGGTCTGTTGCTGGTCTCTTCTGGGGCACTGCGCAGTGTGTGGTGCAGGACAGGGAGGGAGCTGCCTTAGTGTCCCACTGGTCACCCGATCCCCCTGCAGCAATGAGACCCAGCGCCGGCTTCTCGTAATCTGCGGGGGATTCTGCGAAATGAGTGCTATTGATCAACTGGTCAAGGTTAGGTCTCTGATAATATCTCATCCAGCAGTTGCCTGATTTGTATGTATAGCAGTCGGATTGCTGAGATGTCTGTATGGCCAGGCAAGTCACTATGGCAAAACTCTGTTCAGTAGGGTCAGCTCTCAGACAGGTGATGTGAGCATGTTGGTTCTCACATTGCATGTTCAGATTTACGCACTGGACACTTTGTTGTTCAGCTCTGTCTCACCAGATCATGCAGTTGTGTGGGGTTTTTAAATAGACATGCAAGTGGAGCTGTTTGAAACTTTTCAAATTTCCAAATGCGGGCAATTGCAAATAGTGACATTTTTAGGAAAAGGATTTTAAAAATTGACATTTTGGGAACAATTCGTTTATTTGGGTGGTTGGATTTTTTAAAATTTGGATGATAATTCAGATGTGTGCATTTTTGAGTGTAGGAGAAAAAATGTTTAAGGTTGGGATTTTTTCCCCCCACATTTGTTCCTTTATTTCGTCAACCAGGAACAATTTTTCTAGGCAAGGCATAAGATAAAGAAAAGAACAATTCCTTTATTACATAGGTAAATCCTGGGCTTTTTCCCTCTCCCTTTGAGACCATCCAATCATGTCCAGAATTGATAACATCAGCCATTACTACAAGTCAACCACCCACATTTATAAAGAAACAGGACTGGAGATGTTGGATATTAGAAAAACTGTTTCCCTAGGAGGGTGGTGAAGCACTGGGATGGGTTCCCTAGGGAAGTAGTGGAATCTCCATCCTGAGAGGTTTTTACGTCCCGGCTTGACAAAGCCCTGGCTGGGATGATTTAGTTGGGGTTGGTCCTACTTTGGGCAGGGGCTGGAATCGATGACTCCTGAGGTCTCTTCCAGCCCTAGGATTTTATGGTTCTGTGTTCGTGGACATTTATATTAAAGTAATCTAGAAAAAAGTCACTAGTCACTCAAAGGACTAGCTCCAAAGACAAACAGACTGATACAGACTTGATATAGACACAGGGTAAAGGGAATGCTGTCGGGAGCATTTTTGGGAACTTGAGGACAAGGAGACCTTGAACAAGTCTTACGCACACCAGAATATTGAAGACACATTGCCAGGGACAAGAAGTTACAGTAATTAAGTGATCCTGCCTCATCTTTAATATATTAGTAAATACGGCAAATGCCATTAGCAGGCAAATACAAATTCTCCCCAACACAAGTTCCTCATTCTGCTCAAAAGATACCTCAACTCTGCCACCTTCTGCCTAGCATGAAAAGGAACATGAAAAGCCATTCTTCAGCCACACAGTACACGAGTCCCCGGCTTCATTTGTAATTTCAAATGTCTTAATTTGCATCCCTCTCTCAAAAGAGGGTGCAAGTATAGACATACCCTAAGGCTATGTCTACCCTGCAATGCTATTTTGGGTTACCGGAGTAGTCCGAAATAGCTATCCTGCATCTTCACAGCACGTCCCTTATTTTGGGCATGCTCTTCTGACAGCCCTGTATACCTCGTTCTACGAGGAGTAAGGGATGTTCCGGAATAGCGCTTTATTTTGAAATCTGGCACTGTGTAGACAGCACCAAATGATGAAATTAGCTATTTCGAAAGAACATCAAAATAAGATACGTAATTTGTGTAGCTCAAATGGCATTTCTTATTTCAAGTTACGGTGCTGTGTAGATGCAGGGTGCCACAGGACTCCTTGTTGTTTTGGTAACAGTTTGTTTTTGTTCTGAATGTCTAAGCTGCTCTGTTATGTTAGCAAAGACGGAGTGAAGAAGCCTCCATTCACTGGAAGTGGAAAGTGGGGAAGTCTGTTTTTCTCTGGGAGTTTGTTCCTGTCTGACTTGCCCTCAAACTATTTTTCGCCAGCAGCTGTTGAAGGTGGGAGATCTAGTCTGCCCCCTTATCCCAGTTGTGCAACATTTTTACTTCTTCAGTTCTGCTATGAATTGACACGGCCTCTTAGGACACAGCAGCGCAGTGTAACGGTAAATGGCATAAGCAAGGGCTTACGCAGTGGGGCCTGAGTGGCAGAAAGATTAGCTCTTTACTGGCAAATGTCAATGAATGTTAATTTCACCAAATTCACACAAACTGACAAACACACATTTCTATTGGTAATAATCAACATTTACAGATAGGAAAAAATGGAAAAAAACGTTGCTTGAGAACTTGAGTTAGATATAAAGATATTTACTCTGTCAGCTTCAAGGTGACGTTGACAATTTTTGTGTTTTTTAAGGGTTTATCGGGCTTTTACTTTTTTAGTCTCCTTGACGGTGGTTAATTCTTGGCTGACCCTCCCCTCGCTTCCCCTAGCTATGAAAATGTGAGTTGATACACAGCTAGCAATGAAGTTTAAATGCCGCAATGTCACCCAAGCGGGGCGTTCCCACAGCGGAGCCATGTTTTACAGGCTTATCCACAAGCACTGACATCATCGGCAACTCTGGGTTCTAGAGCAGCCTGGGCCAGCGGTTCTAGCATGGTCTAGAGCAGCAGTTCTAGCACAACCTGGGACCTGGCAGGCAGAGGCCAGCCACGCCCACAGCCAGTCCCCACCCTCTGCTCCCACAGTTTCCTTCCTATTGGCTCCCTAATGTTCTGAGCCCGCCTTTAGCTACTTGTCACTCAGCCTGGACCCGCCCATCTAGGTCTCCGGCCGCCCTTCACTTTTGTCATGCGCAAAGAATGACATGCGCGATCCACACTCTGACATGCGCGTCTCGCTCGCTCAGAGCTGGCCCATGAAGGGTGCAGGCGGATGGCTACTCCGAGATGCGCATGCGCCGGGAGTGGCGCCAGTTCATTCTGGGGCAGGGGGGCCGGTCCCAGCCCGGACATGCGCATTCTGGTCTCCGGCCGCCCTTCACTTTTGTCATGCGCAAAGAATGACATGCGCGATCCACACTCTGACATGCGCGTCTCGCTCGCTCAGAGCTGGCCCATGAAGGGTGCAGGCGGATGGCTACTCCGAGATGCGCATGCGCCGGGAGTGGCGCCAGTTCATTCTGGGGCAGGGGGGCCGGTCCCAGCCCGGACATGCGCATTCTGGGCTCGTCAGGGCGCTGTCGCCCAGTGCGCGTGCGCCGGGCCTCGCTCTT